ATGCATTACAACATCTGGATCTTTCAAACATTCAGGAGGAGACGCCCGTCACGACAGTGCGCTCCTGCCCTGCAAGCACTTGCAGGACTGAGCGGATAGCCTTGCAAGAAGACACATGCTGCAATATTCTTGTGTGGTATCTTACAGACAAAGACATATGCGTCTAGTACATATGTAATACATTGTAGTCGCCTGTTGACAGAACCATCACAGTCTAGCATCCATGCACCAGGCGTCGATTGCTGGATGACTTTGGATGCGCACCTTGCCAGCTGGGACTTAGAGTCAGGCTTTGCAGCTCAATGCTTGTGTGTGCACAATGCTCTTCATCTCTTCATCTAGGGCTTCCACACTTTGCAGCTAAGGTTAGAATCGCATCCGAAGGCAAAGCGAAGAGTCTTTGCAGATTGAAGTTTGTCAAGAATCCAAGAAAGCTGACTTGCTACATACACATGGTACCTTGCATAGGTTGGAAGAATCTACTGTGTTGATGCACAATCATTGCGTCCCATGCTGTAGCATCCTAAATATATTAAAGATTTGCATCAGAAACTAAAACAGCGATCGAACCTATAAACCCGACCTCAAGTTATAGTATAATGATAAGGTATAAAACGTATACATTATAAAACCTAACTATATAAAACCTATACATTATACTATAATCTCAAGTTATAGTATTAACCCTGCATCTTCCTAGTTGTGGCTTTGTTTAGTCTGCGAAGGGAACACGTACTTTTTTAGACCCTCCCAATGCGGAATTCTGCGGTTTTTGTCAGGTTTTGCAAGGATTTACAGCTTCGGCCCTTGATTTGTTCTGCAGCATTGGTTCGCACAAAAACTCAAGCCCAAACATACCCCAATTCAGCCATCGGCCTGAGAATGTGTCGGGTTGCAAAAACCAAACGTTTGGCACGGACTTTTTTACCCAAGCAAAAGACAATTTTCCCAATACACAGATCACACAGGAGTTTTTTCCATACCGGGCTTTTGTCCTCCTTTTTGGAGACTTGGCATTGAAGTGTCAAGTCGGTTTGGGGTGTCATGGATACGGAATCGTTCATGCAAAGGCCCATAGGCGGACTCATTTTTTGCCAATTCAATCCCCGGACATTTTTTCTAGCCTCGGAGTCTTCTTGTTTCCCCGCATCAACATTTTGTGGTATTCTGGCCTCGGATTGGAACAACACATACCTGAAGTTCCAGGTATGTGTCAGGTGTTGAATTCTCTGGAAAGACTTTCGGCAATTAAAGATTAAAGCCCACACTGTGACACAGCTACAAACCTGACCCAAAGGTCACATCTTTCAAGAAAGATGTCACCAGATTCCAAAACCTTGTGAACGAAGACGTTCCGACATGCTGATCGTGTACTGTAGCGGTCCATTTTTCGATGCTCTTCTTGGGAACATTCCATTTTTCGATGCGCTGCTTGGGATCTTCCTAGTAGCTTGTTCTTCCTAGTAGTAAGGCCGGCAGCCCCTAGTAGCGATGCCCTTGCTCCTAGTCTCCCAGTAGCTTCTTCCTCCCCCCGTGGACTCACCGCCTCCAGCGCTCCAAACCTGGCCGTGGCCAGACCTGCTGGGATACTTCCTCAGCCGCTTCGACACGGACACCGTCACCCGGTTATGCCAAGGTTCGACGGCGCGACGGAACCGGTGGCTCCACAGGGCTTCACCACCACGTTGGATGATCACATGTTGGGTACAAGATGACCCATGCATGTGGCATGGGCTTGTTGGTGGGTTGAAAGCACCCCAGGTAGGAGTAGGTGACTTGATGTGCCACAGTTCTTCTCTATATTCTCCACTTGACGAGTTGAGATCACGGAGTTGACCCAGGATTCCCTGCACCAGTACCCAGTGGCACAGGTTTGCACATCATTTAAATGATTTGCACATCATTTAAATGATTTGCACATCATTTAAATGATTTGCACATCATTTAAATGATTTGCAGGAGAGCGGCTCGTATTCAGGGAGTGGCCAAATGCCTCAGTATAATCAGTGTGTGTATGTAATGTAATGCAATGCTATGCAATGCAATGCAATGGTATGGTATGTAATGTAATGTATTGTATTGTATTGTATTGTATTGTATTATGTATTGTATTATGTATTATGTATTGTATTATGTGTTATGTATTGTATTATGTATTGTAATGTATTGTAATGTATGGTAATGTATGGTAATGTATGTATGTGGTGTGTGGTGTGGTGTGGTGTGGTGTGGTGTGGTGTGGTGTGGTGTGGT